CGCCATTGTCGTTGCTGTTGCTGCGGTTGTTGCTTCTTGCTACTGTTACCTTTGCGGTTGGTGTAGCTCTTGCTTTTGTTGCTGCTGCCAATGATGCTTTGCTGTTGCTGCCGTTCTTGTCGTTGTTGCTGTTTCTTTTGTCGTCTTCATTGTCACGACGGCTGCTGCTGCTGCTGTTGTTGCTACTGCTGTTGCTGCTGTTCCTGATGTTGTCGTCGATGACACTGATACTGGTATTGATGTTGGTGTTGGTGCCGTTGCCACTGTTTCTGTTGTTTTTTCTGTTGCTGTTGCTGCTGCTGCTGCTGCTGCTGCTGCTGTTGCGGCGCTTGTTGCTGATTTGGTTTGTGGTTCTGGCGCTTTCTCCGGTTGTCCTTGCTGCAACTTAGTAATTCTGCCTGTTGTTGCTGCTGCTACTCACAGGGGAACAGACTGCACCAGCCTGGCGTTGAAGACAATATACGCCTGTCAAACATCGCGCGCGCCTAGGCAAAAGAGGGGCCTTGCCCTGAATTTGTGCTACAGTTGACAGGCATCATAATTTCTTAAAGCACCGTGTTTACCGCAACGTGACCTTCGCAAATAATTGCTGGCTGGCTGGGGCCGTCAGCGCTGGAAACTATCGGCGAATCACGGTTGTGTGGGCCCTGAGCGCTGGTGGGCGAAATTGGCAATAAACCCCCCTGTGCCCAACATTGCTCATTTGATTGAATCTCAGATTTTTCAATCGGCTGCCAACAATCGATTTTCAAAGCACCGACGTGAAAACTAAACTTTCGACAATCTAAATATTGTTGAGCAGTAGGCCCTTCAAATCACGCAAGCACCGTTGGCCAAGGGCCATAGGGCAAACATGTGTAAAAACTGCACTGGGCAACCCGGAAAACCCTTCAGCAAATAGCACTGGGCATCAAATTGCAGGTCACCAGCTGCCAACCTGGAGCTGGCAGCTGGCAGCTGCCAGTCTGGAACCGGAAACTGCCAGCTCCAGACTGTCAGTCCGGAGCTGGCAGCTGCCATTCCGCGGCAGCTGCCAGTGCAGAGCTGTCAGATGCCGGTCTGGAGTTGGCAGCTGGCAGCTGACAGTCTGCAGCTGGCAGTCTGGCAGTCTGGCAGCTGGCAGTCTGCAGCTGGCAGTCTGGCAGCTGGCAGTGCAGCTGGCAGTCTGCAGCTGGCAGTCTGCAGCTGGCAGTCTGCAGCTGGCAGTCTGCAGCTGGCAGTCTGCAGCTGGCAGTCTGCAGCTGGCAGTCTGCAGCTGGCAGTCTGCAGCTGGCAGCCTGCAGCAAGTTTTGGTCACAAAACCCTTCAAAATCCCGACCCCCGTTTTGTGACCGTTCCGACCTCGGAACGGTCACAAAACGGGAGTCTGGGACAAAAAACGCTCTTTCTGGCTTGGGGGGTCGGGGGGTCCCCCGGGACCCCGCCGAAATTTTGTGACCATTCCGAGGTCGGAACGGTCACAAAACGGGGGTCGGGATTTTGAGGGGTTTTGTGACCAAAACTTGCTGCCGGCTGCCAGCTGCAGGCTGCCAGCTGCAGGCTGCCAGATGCAGACTGCCTGGCTGCAGACTGCCAGCTGCAGACTGCCAGCTGCAGACTGCCAGCTGCAGACTGCCAGCTGCAGACTGCCAGCTGCCAGACTGCCAGCTGCAAACTGTCAGCTGCCAACTCCAGACAGGCATCTCACAGCTCTGCACTGGCAGCTGCCGCGGAATGGCAGCTGCCAGCTCCGGACTGACAGTCTGGAGCTGGCAGTCTGGAGCTGGCAGTTCCGGTTCCAGACTGGCAGCTGCCAGCTGCCAGCTCCAGGTTGGCAGCTGGAGATGTGCAATTTAAGCCCAGTGCTGTTTGTTGAAGGGTTTTCTGCGTTGCCGGCAGTGCAGTTTTTACACATGTTTGCCCTATGGCTCCTGGCCAACGGTGCTTGCGTGATTTGAAGGGCTCAACAATATTTAGATTGTCGAAAGTTTGGTTTTCACGTCGGTGCTTGGAAAATCAGATATTGGTCCTATTGGTAGTCGATTGAAAAATCTGAGATTCAAACAAATGAGCAATGTTGAGTTTATTGCCAATTTCGCCCACCAGCGCTCAGGGCCCATGCAACCGTGATTCGCCGATAGTTTCCAGCGCTGACGGCCCCAGCCAGCCAGCAATTATTTGCGAAGGTCACGTTGCGGTAAACACGGTGCTTTAAGAAATTATGACGCCTGTCAACTGTAGCACAAATTCAAGGCAAGGCCCTCTTTTGCCTAAGCGCGCGTGATCTTTGAAAGGCATATATGTTCTTCAAGGCCAGGCTGGTGCAGTTTGTTCCCCTGTGCGAAGCAGCAGCAACAACAGGCAGAATTACTAACTTAAGAACAGCTTGTCGAACCGCAGCCAGAACCACAACCCCAACCAAATCAGCAACAAGCGTCGCAGCAGCAGCAGCAGCAGCAGCAGAAGCAGCGACGACAATGGCAACAGCAACAGCAACAGGAAAAAAAAACAACAGAAACAGCGGCAACGGCACCAACACCAACATCAATACCAATATCAGTGTCATCGACGACAACATCAGGAGCAGCAGCAACCGCAGTAGCAACAACAGCAGCAGCAGCAGCCGTCGTGACAATGAAGACGGCAATAGAAACAGCAACAACGACAAGAGCAGCAGCAACAGCAAAGCATCATTAGCAGCAGCAACAAAAGCAAGAGCTACACCAACCGCAAAGGTAACAGTAGCAAGAAGCAACAACCGTAGCAACAGCCCTACAACACCAGCGGCGGCGCTGCCAGCAAAACCAACAGCCGCGCAGCGTCGACAGCGACAAACCCGAACTGCAACCACTGCAGCAACCGCGAGACGCTGGCTAGCAGCAGCTGCCGCGGCTGCCTGCGAAGCCGTTACCAACAAAAACAAAAACAAAATGGAAAATAGCAGCAGCAACACCAACAGCAGCAGCAACAACAATGGCAATAGCAGCTGGCCAACAACGGCAACGAGAACAACAATGGCAGCGCCAACAGCAACGATAACTGCAACCGCATCAACAAGAACAAGGGCAAGAAGAAGAACAGCAGCAGCGACATCAGCAACAGCATCCCAACGCCAGCGAGAGAAACAGCAACAACAACCAAAACAGCATCAGCCGCAGCCAACAGCAGCAACATCAGCGACTTTTTATCTTCGACCGCAGTCGCGCCCGCCGCAGCCGCCATCACCACTACCATTACCACCTCCGCCGCCGCCCAACAACAGCAACAACAGGAGCAGCAACAACGGCTAGCGACAGCTCACGCAACCATGACAACAATGAAAAAGAACAGGCGGCGGCGTGACTGAGAATCCGCCGTTTCATGGAAGAACTGCTTGCGCGCAAGGAGGCTAAGTAATTTGAAGATGCGTGCAGAAAGCTCGCGTCTAATCTGAAGCTATACCTAGAGGCACCGGCTATAACCCGACGTCGTTGCCAGCCACTTGACTGTTTCAATCACAAAGATTCTGGCGGAGCTTTTTCATGGCTGTTGTCTCTACACACAAACTGAAGAACCAGACAGACCGCAGGCACAACAAGCAAGCAAACACAGGCGACAGCTGCAAACAAGCAAGCAAACGGGCAAAGCACCAAAACGCTCGTGATGTGTCTGCGAATTATATCCAAAGTCTCCTGTTGCCCTTTCCTTGCTGGTGCCAGTAAACTTGCTGCCGGCAACTTGGATCGTGCGATATTCTCGCATCAGCAGCAGCAGCAGCCCAGTAGAAGGCCCACCAGCTTTCTATGGATGGCGCAACTTGCTCAGAATCTACAAAAACAAACAAGTCAGCCCCCAGACCTAGCCCTTTCTTGCGTCTCTGCCCACGGAGAGCGGTTCGCTCTCCATACTAAAATCAAACTTTACGCGGCGCTGATAGCCTTTACGCGTTCAAAGCGCTGGGGTTGGGGGGCACAGCGTTTGCTCAATGCAATCTCACAGCATGCTTGTCAGAACGGCCAGCCAACCCCCGATTCAAAGCCAACCCCCGAATGCCAAAAAAAATCTTTAAAAGTGGGGGCCCTGGACTGCAGCAGGTTTCTGTTACGGGTGCAGCCGCCCCGGGTTTTAAACGTTTTGGTTCCGCGCCGTTCTTCCGTTGGGATTAAGCTAATAGTTTGGGGGTTCCACCAGGAGCCCTCGATTTGGAAGAGGTTTCACATGCGTGGGGCGCCGGATCACATGTAGCGCTTGCGCGCAGTACTTTGATAGAAGCCGATCCCGTGGAGTGAGTGTCAAGGCATGGCGTCAGTGGTAAGTGTTTCTTAGCTGCGGCAGATCGTTCTCGACGCCGGCAGACTAACGTCTTGTTACAGGATTCCTTGCACCGTCATCATGGCTGCACTTAGCCTGCGAACGACTGGCAGCTTGTAGTTGTCTTTGGGTAAGTTGAGCGGGAGGGCGGTCCAATTCTCCCAGACTTCAACTTCTTCAGGGGTGTCACGGGGGCACAGTTTACAGGCCTAACACCACCAAAAAAGTCGATGTCATGGGTGACCTGGTTGCAGGGCGTGTCTTGCTATGGTCCGGCGCACGGGGCGCTTGGCGCCTGAATTACAGATGGGGGTTTCTCAAAAATAGGGGCTCCCTTTTGGTTGTTTCAGTAGAGGAAAACCAGCCATATATATTGGGGGGGGTTCCTGTTTCGAGACACACCCATATGCCGCACTGCAGTTTGGAACATTGTCGTAGTTCCTGCACCAGGGTTGCTATTAGCTGCGTGGGGTGTGTTCCAAGATAACACTTGGGAGGTCAAAGACAACCCCATGAGCCAAGAGGAGGCACAAGTCGGGGTTGACAATTTTGGGGGGACAAGTTGGAGCTGACAAACAAACAAGTTGGCGGGAGGTCAAATACAACACGACAGCGGGGTATGTCTCAAACCAGCGCAGGACCAAGGTTTACTGAGTAGCAGGTTCTTGTGGTTTTCTAGTGGGCCTGACCATCCTTGTCGATCAAGTGGCTTTGGCAATCCTCCGGGCGCTATGCTGCTTCAAGTTGAGCGAGAGTTTCAGCAACAGGGGCTGAAATACTTGCATTGCGCCATGCTGACATTTGACGAGCGCCGTCGAGACCAGGGTGTTGCTGAGGACGTTGTGAAGTTGTTCATTGGCAACGGCATCTTGCCTCTGCGGCGGAACCATGAGGCTGAAACCAATGATGGCTCCTATGCCTACTGCGGCAAGAACTGGTGCATGAACTTGGGCGATGTGCCTGCCATTCCAACAGCATTTGAGACGTCGCATTCCCGCCGGTTTCGAGGCGTCTTCATGCGAGCCAGCATGACAACGCAGGTGGAGTCTGTGGATGTAGCCTGCAAGAAGTTTGGCCGACGAAGACGCAAAGGGCTTCATGTCTTCAAGCAAGACTTCTTGTTCAAGTACATGCGGCAGAGTGGCCCACGCCAGTGGTACAGGGTTCTCCACTACGTCAAGCCGGGTTCGCAGACGGAGAAGGACACTGTTTGGCTCTTGCAGAAGTTGGCCCACCTGGTGATGCTCCAGCGCCTCTTGGGGCCGGCCTGGTCAAGCACAGAAGCCGTGCAGAGTTCCTACAGGATGCAATTGCGGAGTTTTCCTATCTGCTACGGCGGGCCCCAGAAGATCGCAGAGGCAGTGTGAAGTTTCTTCGCCGGCCCGCAGATGTAGCGAAGATGATGGCTGCTCTGGAACAGGCAGGTTGTTGCGCGGGGTGTTGATTCGGAAGGGCATCGTGAGTGTTGGCGCGTAATGGCTTAATGTGTCTCACAGACTGATCATTGACCCGAGGTGTCTGACTGCGACATGGCAGGCGTCTTCGGCACCTGGATAGATTGGACTTGGCCTTCGGAGTCCACCGGGGAGCATGTGGGGGACAAGGTGAATGAGCGCGAGGAGCATGGTTTTGCAGATGGCCCGCACTGGGACTTCATGTTCCGAGCGGATGTGGAGTCGTTCGAGTAGTATGTTGCTGAAGGCAAACACTCTCGACCACAGCAGGTGGCAGAGTACATGCGGCATATTTCCAGCCATGTTGAGAGAGATGAGTATTGCATGTTCATGCGCCACCGTGGAGTGCAGAAAGTTGTGGCTGGGCAGCCCTTAGGCCGTTACTACTTCCCAGCACTTAGCCCTCCAAATTTGTCTAGAGCTGCTCGCGCTGCCTTGTTCCCAGCTGGGAGCTATGAGTTTGACCAGCCCACAGCAGTTGTGCACTTCATGATTGAAAGAGCTGAAGAGTTGGGTGTTTGCGCTTGCCTGCTTGAGAAGTACAAGACGCACGAGGCACAGCGGCGTGAGGCCATCCAGCGGTACTTTGACTTGCCCAGCCTTGCAGATGCCAAAGCACTTCTTCACAAGGCTACGTTTGGGTTTGTGCACTCTCTCGATGGCAAGGATGCCTTGGGAGTGTTGCCAATCCTAGAAGGTCTTGCGAATGAAAGCTTCAAACTTCGAAGGCCTTTGTGTCAACAGAACGCAGCTGTTCTTGAGTTCTGGAAAGCCTGCTGAACGACGGTGCTGCGCGGCTGGAAGACTGCATGGTCGTAGCGGGCGCTCAGAAGTGCTTGGCTTTCTCGCTGGTGAACGTGTTTCGCGCTGACTGAGGATGAGACTTTGGCTGCCAGCTTCGGGTGTGGAGACGGACCGCTTAGCTTCAGACAGTGCATGGAACTACACCCAGACGCCTGGAGCCTTCAGCGTTGCTTCTGGTGATGGCAGCCACTACATCGTGCACGAGAACCGGCCAGGGCGGGAGGTGGGCCATGCCATCGGCGTGCTCTGTTACGCTGGCAAGTGCAGGGTGCACGGCGACTCCGTTGTGCAGGCAGTGGAAATTGACGCCGCCACTTTCTCACGTCTTCGAAGCCAAGTTGTTGTCGGCCTCAGTTTCGCTTCGCAAGCGCAAGCTAGCGAACCCTCCGAAGCGCCTGACGTTGCAGAGCGAGTGTTGGACACAGTGGCGCTGAGAAAGTGAGGGCGGAGGTTTCTGCTGAAATCAAGCATCTAGATGAGTTGGCGCAGGAGGGGCGCAACTCACTCAGCATGTGGGCACATTTTTTGTTTTTTTTGTTTGGCGCGGGGCCTCTCAAGAAAGACAAACAAGTTTAACAAGTTGCGAGCCTGTTTTTTTTGAGCCCGCTTCCGCAGGCAACGCGCGTGGGTCAACTGCGAAGTGCCCCTTCTGTCCTTTTCGGCAATTTTCGGAAAGGCGTCAATCCACAATATTGCCCTTTCTCACCCTTTTTTTGGTTGGGAGGGTTCCCCTACTAAAATAGACGTCCCAACTTCCTCCCTGCTGTCCATCCAAATGCCAGATCTCAGACATGCCTTTGACCAGTTTGAAGTGCCAACGAAGTTGCGGTCGAACCTTGAAGGGCAGTTTCCGAACGCCACGGCCTCCCTTTCGATGGCTCTTGCAGTCGCCTTTATCAGGCAGGTGCGCAGCAGGTGGGTTGCGCATTGTCATCACAACGATGGCAACGCAGAGTTTTAGTTTCACGGGGTTTTCGCTGCGAGCATTGACTCTCAGAGCCGCGCGAGCAAGACAAGCAAAACAACACGTCCTGAAAGAAGTCGGGTACCCCTATTGCAAGCTCTCTACTGGAGGACCCAGAAAAGACGAACACCTGCGTAACCCCAGATGCTTAGCCACACCCAAAAACGCCCACACCCAAATTATGTAATTTGAGCCACACCCCAAAAACCAGAAAAAAGAGGCTGAGGCCTTCCTCGCCAGGCCGGGACTTGCGCCTTTGGAGCCGCTCCCCGCGCCGCTCCATGGGAGCCCGGCGCGACGAGAGGCGCGCAAAAGTCGTTGAGCGGGCGCGTCGGCGCCGGCGCGGGCAATGAATTTTGACTGTATTGGGCCCTTCTCAAAGTCAGCTAGGGTGATTTCCTTCATCCTATCACAGGTGAAATGCGGGGCAGGTTGTTTCTCTTGTCTGGTTTTGCTTGTTTTGTGTCGTTCTTTTGGGCTCTGATTGGATCTGTTTGGCTTGGTGGGGCTGTGGGCTGGTTTCATTTGCGTTGTTTGGTTTGTTCGATTTGTGTGGTTGTGTGGGTTAGTGTTGTTTGGTTTTGTTTCGTGTTGTGTTTTTGTTGTTTGTCGAATTGTTGTTTGCATTGTTTTTTGTTTCGGTGGGTGTTGTTTGGTTTGGTGGGCTGGTGTTTTTTCACATCGTTCTGTGTGATGTGATGGTGGTTGCGGTTTGGCGAGTTGGGGAGTTGGTGGGTAGGTGTGATGCGTGCTGTGCATCTGTCTATTTGTCTGCCTGCTTGTTCGCTTGGTTGCTTGCCTGCTTGCGTTGGAGTCTTGTCTGCTTAGTTTGTTTGCTTGCATGGAAGGTTGAATGGAGTGATTCATGCATGTGGATTGTGTTTTGCTTCTTCGGGGGTGTTGTGCTTGTTTTGGGCGTGTGGGTTTGCTGTTACGTATTGTGTTTGATTGTGACGGTTGTTTTGCGTGTGTGTGCGTGGGCGTTTGTGAATGTGTGTGTGTGTGTGCGTGGGTGAGTGGTTGTTTTGATTATGGTTATTGTGCTTGTTGCTCTGTTTGCTGCAGCTGTCTGATTCGCGTCTTTGGTGGGTTGGTGAATTGATGCATGGTTTGCTAGGTTGCAAGGATGCAAGGTTGCTTGCTTGCTTGCTTGCCTGAATGCTCGCTTGCTCGCTTGCTTGCTTGCTTGCTTGCTTGCTTGCTTGCTTGCTTGCCTGAATGCTCGCTTGCTTGCGGATGCTCGCTTCCTTGCTTGAGTGCTTGCTTGCTTGCTCGCTTGCTTGCTTGTCGCCACATCGGATTGATTCAAGCATCATCCGTTTCCGAAGTTTTGGAAGTTTGCTGGTGCGATGGGCAGGGAATCTTGCTTGCTTACTCGCTCGCTGGCTGGCTTGCTTGCTTGCTTGCTTGCTTGCTTGAGTGCTTGCTCGCTCGCAAACTTGCTTGCTCGCTTGCTTTGCTTGCTTGCTTGCTTGCTTGCTTGCTTGCTTGCTTGCTTGCTTGCTTGCTTGCTTGCTTGCTTGCTTGCTTGCTTGCTTGCTTGCTTGCTTGCTTGCTTGCTTGCTTGCTTGCTTGCTTGCTTGCTTGCTTGCTTGCTTGCTTGCTTGCTTGCTTGCTTGCTTGCTTGCTTGCTTGCTTGCTTGCTTGCTTGCTTGCTTGCTTGCTTGCTTGCTTGCTTGCTTGCTTGCTTGCTTGCTTGCTTGCTTGCTTGCTTTGCTTGCTTGCTTGCTTGCTTGCTGTATTGCTTCCTTTTGGAGCGTTAGCGGCTTTCGCAATTCCCCGAGATCCCTTGGCTTGGAGGCTGATTGATAAATAGGGGGGTGTCCCCTTTTAGGGGGGATTCAGACCACTTCTGGAGGGAATTCCCCCTGAATATTGGGACGGGTTTAGTAATCCTGGGTTAACATTAAGCAGGCTTGCTCCTGCAGTCTAAACCAACATGACGAATCCGAAGGGTATACAATTTGGCTTTAGCTTCTTTTCTGATTTCTTCGGGGCTGCAACTTCGTAATTGCTGTTTTTGCGTTTGTGCGTGGGGGGCTGCCAAGTCCGGCTTTCTTTTTTGTTAATCGGTTTTGAGCGAGACATGATTCAAGTCTGGTCGCAAAGTATAACGGAGTTTGCTTCTCTGGCTTCCTTCTGTTTGTCCTACAGTCTTCGCGCAGGCCCCGTAGGCGTCGCGCAGGCTTTGAAGGCATTTTGAATACGTCGACCTTTTCTAGCTGCCAGACCCTTGCACAGATTCTCACTTGTACTGCAAAAGCGATCTTGGAGTCGGAGCTGCCAAAGTGTATTTCGCGTACCACACTTGCACTGAAAGTTGAACTTTGCCACTAGAACTGAACATTTGCCTTCGTGGGTGTCCGCGTAGGCACCTGCAAGATGACTTGTGCTCGCGCAGGCACCCTTTCCAGGGGGGTAGGCTTGCGGAGGCTTCCGCGTAGGCATGTAAGCAGTGTATAGGCCCTGAACCACCCCAATCCCAAAAAACACTCCCATGTTGTTTTCCATGATATTCTACAAGGGGGGCACAGCTAGAGCACATTGCGCCCCCTCACCCTTCAGAGTGTATGTATGAACTGGGCCAAACAAAAACTTCATGTCATAGGGTTATGGCAACCGCGTTCCGTTCTTTTTTGTCATTAGGATAGTCTTCGACAGGGGTCCATCCAATTAAACAATTTTGTTTTGGTGTGATTCTGTAGGGGAAACATGAGTGATTTGAAGGTCAACCGAAAGGAAATCCGCCCGTTTGGGGGTTTCCTACTGTATGTTGATGCACACATGTAGGGAACCCTGTCGGATTGTGGAACTGTTGTCCGTGCGTTTGCCAGTGCCAGGACCAAGAGATGACGGAGAAGTTTAGTCAGTCGCACCGCCGCGTGTATTCAAAGTGCAAAAAAGGTCGCTCGTGCAGACTTGCGCGCCGCCCAAAACCCCCATTGGCCGTTTTAGCTGGGTCCACTACCTGATTCAAGAGGGAGTAAAATATGAGTACCTGAAAAAAACATCGGACGTGTTCAGTGCATAGTAATTTTTCGGGACTCCTTGCGGATAGCAAATCAGCAAAAGCCTGCAGAAAAGCGATAGGGGACCACCCAAAACCAATACCCCCATTTTTAAACTCAGAGCACAGGGGCCACGCATGGCCTTGAGTTTGGGGAAGGATTTCGTCCGCTACTCAAAAAATCCTTGATTACCATGTTGAACCGATTGTTAACGGGTCTTCACTGCTCAATTCAGCGCAGACAAGCGGAGCAATGTCAACAGATGTGGCTCAAGATCAACAACTTTCGGCTCTATATGCAGAGGTGCTGTATCTTTTTGGTTGGTTTGGTGGTTGGGTGTCTATTTAACTCACAAAAAGTTAAACTTTCAGCACGGGACCTGAGGACAACCCATGAAAAAGACTCCAAAACCACTCACTTCCTGAGTTCATGGAGCTTTAGTCACTTTTTGGGTTTGGTTTCCATTTTAGTGGAAGTGAGTTATTGAGTTTAATCACTTTTTAGGTTTGGATCATTTAGTGGTAAACCAAGAGTTTGGTTGCTTGTTTTGGGGATTTCCACTCGGAAAGTGATGTGCAAAGATGTGCAGGGGACGCTGTTGAGTTTTTGGCGGTTGAGTCCTGAACATTTCGCCGTAGCCATATGGCTGTGGCTCAAAATTAAATAGGAGGGGTTACGCAGGTTTTGGTCCATGTTTCCACTTACCAGGGTTCCATGTTGGTACCGGTTTATAGAGCCACGGCCATATGGTGCCGTATGGAAGTTGCGGGTTCCTGCATCCGCCCCGACGTACAAGAAGTGATCAGAACCTCAATTAAAAGCCATACGTTGAAGCAGCAAAACAGCGATCAATATATGTCCCTAATTGGGTGGTTCAAAGTTTTTAAGCATCACCTTTGCGGACAGTGTTTATCGAGTTCGTTTTGGAAAGGGCGATGATGTATGTACAAGGAACTCTGCAACATCGGCTAGGCATCCCCTTAGCGCGTGATCACCGAAAGAACAGGAACACCAGCTCGCGCGTGGCAACCTCAGGGCAGATTGCAAAGGAAATCGAAGCTTCTCATTGGCGATGCTGTCATGTGGCGACTTCCACACGGTGTTTCGGCAGCACTCCAGGGTCTGTCTCGGACAAATTGTTAGTTGATGCTTGGGAAGCCTGACTAGCAAGTTGTTTTGTCTTTGTGGGGGTGGCAGGTATAGCAAGCCACATGGCTGATTGCTTTGAATGCTGGTCTTAGCGCATTGCCACACCCCCAAGCCACCAGGAAAGTCCTTCAGCAGTTTCTGGAAGTTGAACTGTTAGGGAAGATAGTTCGGAGTTTTTCTGACCAATCCACGCAAGAGGTGAGATATAGATGGGTCTTTTCTTGAGGGCACGTTTTTGGAGTGTGCTTTCAAAGGGATTCTAAAGGGAACACACTCATTTTGGGGGGTCCCCGATTTTCAGACACTCCGCATATGGATGTTTTAACTGCGAACCATCAAAAAAGGTGGTGGACATACATCCCCGAAATGATGTCCAAGGGTCCTCAAATCTCTTCCTTAGTTCCTGATCTTTCAAGCACACGCATCCGAGGTGCTCATTCGGTCTGATGGCAGCCTGGCGTCGTTGTTGTTTTTACCTTGTGTTCAATTCCATTTCCCTTGGGGGGGGGGCAGGTATCCAAGGGAAGCACAGGAAACCAACAGGTAACCAAGACAAGCACAGATGCCATTTTTTCAAGAGAGCGGGACGATGAGCGTGCGCTTTTTGCGCATGTTGAGCGGAAAATCGAGTTGAAGTATGTTTGCACAAATTATGTTTGAATGTTAGTTGGTTAATTGGTTTGTAAAAAAACTTGATTGGAAAGAGCATACTGTGTAAATTCTCATTTAGTATAGTATAGCTCTAATTTAGATTCCAACCTAGAATAGACATGGTGGTTGGATTAATTCTTAATTATGTTTAACCTCTAATTGAATTGTAAAATTCTATTGGGAAAGGGTTTTATCTAAAGTTTGAATGTAAGATCTGATTTTCAGTAGCAGTCTTATTGAGTCACGTGTGAGTCCTATTCAATTTCAATCTGAGCTATAGAGAGCGGCAGTTGGTGGAGATGTGAATTGAGTACAAAAGCGCTACACAAGACTGTTGCAGTGTTTTCTGACCATGGCTATGAAAAGACACGATTGTGGGACCTCTGAGTTCTTTCCTTGTGGAATTTACTCAATATGTTCATCAAATGTTAATGCAATTATATTTCACATTCGATATAATATGAAAAGGACATAATCCAAACACAAAATTCTATTTTAAATTATAATATATAGAATGGTTTGGTTATTTCAATTCAATTAATACACAAGGTGTCCTTTCCAATACAAATGTCGTTGCAAAGCAGGACGCATTTACGCAACACGTATTTAAACAATTTTGGAACCTCTATGTTCGTTCTTATGATTTCTACCTGCTATATTTATCAAGTTCTACTTTTCTAATTATAACTGTAATTGAGCATAATTTGACAAGCACCGTTGGTGCGTTTTGGTTTTCTCGAGAGAACCAAACAAATAAACAAGATTGGTCCCGCGAAGTCTGGACAGCTGATACAGTCTTGTTTGTCGTTTTTCGGAAGAGTGTGAGAAACCTCGCACCCACAAACATGCGCACGCTCAGGGTGACCTGCTCTGTGTTTAGAGGGAACCAACAGGAAACCAAGGGAAACATCCGGAGCGAACCATTTTCACGAGGAACATGGCGTGTGGCACTGGGTAATGTCATGCCAAAATTTGGTTTGAAACACCCCAAACCCATGTTCAAATCATTTAGGCGCTTATATTGCATTTACCACAGCGGTGTCGGTTCGGCATCTGAGAATGCACTCGCGCTGGATTCCTTTTGGGGTGATGTTTGAAGGGGGCAGTATATTGAGCCCTGGATTCTGCGCGACTTGCAGCACGAAATGTTGGTTGCAACACCAACGTTAACATGGAATCCACCAGAGGGTTTTGTTTGGAAAGGTCATACTCCATATTAGCGGGTGGAGAGGGCTCGGGGCAGTAGTGGAAGTTCAAAACGCACCCCAAAGAGGGACATCACTACCAAGGACTCTGGAAACGGATATGGGGACCCTCCAAATGGGCGGTTTCCTTTTCGTTTCCCTTGCAACCAGCCCCAAAAAGGGTGCCCTCAAAGGGACATCACACCACCATGCAGGAAATCTATTGCCGCCCTGCGGGACATGTGTGTGTGTGTGCTTTTTGTTGGTGCTCTTTTTGCCGTGGCTTATGCATTGATACCTGGAGTCTCCACGGCCCTTTCAAAATGGGGTCATGACCCCTTTGCTTTGGGTAATGACCAAGCATTTTCAAGGGTCAAGGAGACTCCAGGTCAGGAAAACTCTGAAAGCCGGTTTTTGAGTTCAGAACGATGGTTGAATGGGGAACCCAACCCCTAGAATTGTTTAAGGAAAACTATGAAAATCCCATTGCAAGGCTGAGCTCTAGGTGCCCCCTGCCCGCTGAGCAGCGACTCCCAGGTGAGGCGGTGGCCTTTGGCAGCAACTCTCATGGCCAGTGCGAGGCGCAGCGCGGGCGGTGCGTTGGGTTGGACGGGCGCGGCTAGGTCCCCCAGCAATTGGTGCGCTTGCTCACCCCTTTTGGGGTTCCCGGGTTCCCCTAAAATAGACGTCCTGAAAGAAGTTGGTGCCCTGGTTCTAACCTCTCTACTGGAGGACCGTTTGGCGGGTTTGGCGACTTTCGGCTCGTCGGAAAGGCAAGAAATCAATGCCAGGGGTGGGGGAGGCGGAGGGCTGGAGGGAGGGGTGTTGGAGGGGGAGGGGTCGGAAAGGCTTGTCAAAGGGGAGGGCTGGGGTGAGGGGGAGGGGTGTTGGAGGGGGAGGGGTCGGAAAGGTTTGTCCAAGGGGAGGAGGGTTGTTGGAGGGGGCGGGGGACGGGGGGGAGGGTTATCCATTTTTTGGGGGTGGTTCTGGAGGGGAGCCAGTGGTCCAAAATCCCACAATTTTGGGGGCCCGACATCCGATGAATCCGATCCCTATATTCAGACATGCGTCCTATGTATGTCATGTCGTCCTTCCCTATGAGTGATTTCAACAGCCTTTCAGAGCAGGGAAAAGGCCATCTTACTCCAGGGTTTGCTAGTTACATGTGGGTACGAAGACTCCGAAGTCCCCCAGTAGTGCCCTTTTACCCTTTTTTGGGGGAGGGTTCCCCTGCTAAAATAAACTACAGAAAAAAGGGCACTTTGTTTTTAAGGTCCCTTGGTTGCCTGTTGGTTCCTTTGAAACAACATGCAATACTGGGTCCAACAATGTTGAAACAGACCCTTGTACAGGGAAATGGAACTGGGTCAAACAAAGAGGAGGCGTTGCAATGCAAAGTAAGAAGCATCCAGACCATGGTCCAAGGAGGGCACGAAATGGGGTGTGTGTGTCGTTGGAAGCAAATGACACAGAACATGTTTTTGGGGTCCGATTCCTTTAAGGCAGACATGGATCTAAATAATACAACCCACCATATGGGTGGAGTTCTGCAAAGCTTTTCCTTCAAACCAACTCCCTGCTGGGGTTGTCGTTTTTGAGGCTCGGTGCCCATTGTGGGATAGTTTCATAAGGACGCCGATTATTTGTTGGTTCCCAGTTTTGGGGAATTGCTTAGTTCTGGCACAGGGCTGGGTTGGTTGGTTCGATGGTTGGTTGGTTGGTTGGTTGGTGGGTGGGTGGGTGGGTTGGTTGGGTCGTGGGTGGGTGGGCGGGAGGGCGGGCGGGCAGGCGGGCGGGCGCGCGGGTTGGTGGGTTGGTGAGTTGGGACTTGGTTGGTTGGCTGGTTGGCCTAACCTGGCACAGCCTGGCGCGCACGAAGGGCGGTATTTACATCTACAATGTAGGGTGGGCTACAGGTAGGTTTCGGGTAGGTCTAGGGTAGCCTTAGGGTAGGCTTGTGATAAGCGCAGGGTCGGTTAAGGGCGGGTCAAGGGCGGTCTTGGGCCAGGCTTTGGGTAGGATCAGGGTCGATTTAGGGTTGGGCAGGCTTAGGCGGGTTTCAGGTCAGTACAGGGTGGGTTTAGGGTAGGTTTAGTGTCCATGTCAGGTACGTTCAAGGTTCAGGGCGGGTGTTGGTGGACTAGCCACAAGCCTATCCTAAAGCTACCCTGGACCTACCAGCAACCTACCTGTAGCCCACCCTAAATTGTAGACTTAGATACCGCCCTTTCGTGCGCGCCAGGCTGTGCCAGGTTAATGCCGGGGCTACGCAAAAAAAACAAACTCAGCCCCTATTTTAAGACCCAACTGGAGGCTGTTTGAGCAATAGTGACGACATGTTTGAACAATGGGGTGTGCCCAACCGCGCTACTGCGTGCCCCAGGTCGCACATGCCTTTGTTTCAGGATAGATGTCACCTGGCTACTCAAACGGGAGGTATTCACCATGAAATATTTGTTTTTACCATACCTTAAACGTGGGTACTGTGAGTACGGCATATTCCCCCTTTTTGGTGGTTTAGCGTTAGTTGGCTGTTCTAAACTGAGCTTTCTTTGGGTGGGGTGATGTTTGGGCTTGACACGTAAGCAACTTTTTCTCCAGATGGGACACCCAAAAGGAGGTGTTTGTCTTACTATTTGCTGTTCCCTTGAATCCCCGCCCTTCGAAAGCAAGATCCTGTTGATTGGACCTTTGCATAACCTCCGGCTTGTCTGTTTTAATTGGACCAAGCAACATTTCTACTTGTAAGTTGCCACTTTGATCGTGTGGACTGTGGGACCGACATTTCCTTAAGGCTACCATGTTGCACGCAAAGAAGGTTTACGAGGGCCACCGGCCATCCATACCTTGGATAGGAGCCTAACATACCTTGGGTACGACATACCATGACATCCTTACGGGACCAACGGGAGTCGATGCCTTTAACACGTGGAAACACACAAAACACGTGTGCGATTGTTTGTTTCACACTGGAGTCATGTGCACATCAATGGCATTTGAGAGGCTCTTTTGTGATCGACGTTTACGAGTGTAGCACGACTGCATACTCTATCTTTCCTTGAACAGACGAGGACAAATGAACAAAGACGGGATTTGAAAAAGCCATTCAGAACAGACAAACAAAGACAGGACATACAAACAAAGACAGGACATACAAAAGAAGACAGGACAAGCAATCAAAGAGGACAAGCAAACAAAGACAAAGATAGGAAAAATACAATAAAGACAGGGCCAACAAACAAAGGCACGACAGCGCACGCAAAGACGGGGCAAACACACAGAGACACAACAAACAAACACAGAAAGAACAAGCAAGCGAAGCCATGCAAAACAAACAATGATAGCACAACCAATCATCAACAAAAAACAGGGCCAACAAACAAAGACAGCACAGACAAAAGCAACATGACAGTCAACAAAAAGCCAGGAGAATTCAAGAAAGACAGCAAAGACAGGACAAACACGCAAAGGCAGGACAACACCCACATAAAGACAGGACAAACAATTAACGACAGGACAACCACAGCCAGCCCAGACAAACAATGAACAATCACAGGATGTGACATGCAAGCAAAGACGGAACTTTTCAAGCAAAGCCACGACAAACAATGAACAAAGGCACGACAACCAAACAAAGCCATACCGAACAATGAAGAAAGGCGCGACAAACAGCCAAAGACAGGGCAAATCAACAAAGACAGGACACGCAATGAACAATGAGACGGGACAACGGGACAACATGACAACCAAACAACGCCAAGGCAAACAAGGAACACAGACAGGGCAAAGAATCAACGCCAAGACAATTAATTAACGAAGACAGGACAAACAATGAACAAAGATAGGACAACCAAACAAACCCAAGACAAACAATGCACAAAGACAGGACAACCAAACAAAGCCAATACAAACTGTGAACAAAGAAAGGACAAACAACCAAAGACAAGTCAATTAGTGAACAAGGACAGTCCAAAAACAACATAACAATAAAATCCAGCCAAGACAAACAATGAACAAAGACAGGACAAACAAGCAAAGCCAAGACAAATATGTAAAAAGCAAAAACAGGACAACCAAACAAAGGCAGGGCAACCGACCAAATCCAAGACACACAATGAGCAAATACCAAACACAGCCAAGACAAGCAGGACGCACAACCAAAGATAGGGCAAACAAACAAAGACAGTACAAACAAACAAAGCCAAGACAAACAATGAAAGACAGGAAAAACACGCAACGGCAGGACAGCCAAACAAAGCCTAGACGTAGAATGAACAGAGACATCAGAACCAGACAACGACGACCAAACAGAGCCAAGACAAACAATGAACAAAGACAGGGCATGCAAACACACAGGAAACAACCGAACAAAGCCGCGACAACCAAGCAAAGCCATACCAAACAATGAACAAAGACGCGACAAACAACCAAAGACATGGCAAACGAACAAAGACAGGCAAACAAACAAAGACAGGACACAAGGAACCAAAGTCAGGACAAGCAATTAGCAAAGACAGGATCAACAACCAAAGACAGGGCACACAATGAGCAAAGACAGGATCAACAACCAAAGACAGGGCAAGCAATGAGCAAAGACAGGACGAACAGCCAAGCACAGGGCAAACAGTGAACAAAGACAGGACACACTTCCAAAGACAGGGCAACCAAACAAAGACAGGACAATCAACCAAACACAGGGCAATCACTCAAAGACAGGACAAAACAGAACAGGTTAATCAATCTATGGGTTTGGCTTTTGCATGTTGTAGGTTCCAAAGCTTCCTCGGGGCCTGGCATACCTTGCCGCCGCTGCCGGCAGCCGGGGGCGCTGGAGTTTTTCTGTCGAGGGATCCGGCTGCACCAAATCCCTGGGGTTCAAACCACCATCAAAACGATGGGGGTTAGTATAACCGCAGTTTGTCTAAGAACTTTTATCATCCAATTTGGGTCAACCCTTCCTTTAATGGGGGTGGAACCCCAGGGAAGTGGGCGTTTTTTGGGGGGAAACCCCCAACATGTCTTCGGTTTTTCTTTTGGCCTTCCTTTAACATCCAAAACGGTTGCACTGCAAGTAAACCAACGACACAGGACCACAAACCATGGCAAGCCACGGGAAATTGGAAGAGTCGGTTTCCTTGCAGCACCTGGGGGAGTTGGTAGATGGTATTCCCTGTAGATGTGGGGAAGGGGATGACTACTTCAATTCGGTTGGAATCGTACCGTCTGGAATCAAAGCCAACTGTAAAAGTTGTACGATACCTCTAGAAAGAGTACCTTTGAGGGAGTCCAAATGTCCAAACAACACATGAGCTTGATATTTCCAGCGATTCGGAGACAGACTAAGGAACACGCCCAGAACTTGAGGCAAGTTGACGCGTGAATGCTAGTCATGTCAAACATCTGCAGGCGCATTCCCCTTGACTCCTCCAACCTACCATCACGCCTCGCCCAGAAATGCCATGGGCTAGCTTGGGTCGAGCAAAGGTACCGCAGCCGAGTCTTCAGCGCCTTCGCTGGCAGTTTGTAGATGAGTCGGCACAAGAAACGAGTTGCAGCGTTGCCAACTCTTTTTTTGGCATCAGGATGGGGGTCCTCAGCGTTCCTTGTTGTGGACGAAAAATGAGCCAAGGCAAAGCCCAACGTTGCAGCGTGCCACATTACCCTAGAGAGGGCTGGCTGAAACAAAGTTATCACAAAACAATCTGATGTTCAGACTTCTGGGGCAGCTGCTGCTGAAGGCTGCCCGCCTGGATACTGCTGCCAGGGCATTGACTTCGTTCTTGTCGTCGAAACAGCTGGGCACGATGGTCGTGCCTTCAAGGTTGCGGCGTTTAGGTTCGGCTTCTGCCGCTCGATCCGGCCACGGCGTATCCGCTCCGCTCTCCTCATGCTTCCAGCAACTCGCGGGTGCGCCTGACATTTTTTGGCCAGGTTTCGCTTCCAGGTTGCATAAAGGCACTCCAGCTGGTGTTGCACACATTCTCCGGCTTGGGGTGCCTCTGACTGAGCGGGCCTACGGGGCAAACTTCGGTGTAGGACCGAAAGCAAGGACGCAACACGGGGTACTTGCAGCAGCTTGTGTGGACTGACGTCAGCTGTAACTTGGATTTATCTTCCAAGCCAAGTCCGTAGTAAGGCAACTGGATCTAAAGATTTGCACTGCTCGGGCCGATCAATGGATATTTAGGGCTCAAAACCCCGATCTCCAAGTCAGGAAACATGCTGCTGTTTCACACCCAAAGAGTTGCAGCAATTGAGAATAGCAAATACAAGTTTCCAATGCCCAGCCCGAGCGCTCGATATGTCTGGCACACGTCTCGTTATATGCGACATCATGGGCCCCTCCCACCCTGAATGTGTTTCTGGCCTGAGCAAGCCAGAGGCCCAGAAGAAACGGCAAGTCTCTCAGTAACAACATAAAGGTGCAAAGACAGCCCCGTCTCACGATGTAGCTTGCAAGCAATTGTTGATGCCTCACTGTCATCTCTTGTTTCTGGCGTCACGTAGCGATATGCCTCATAGGTGTCTGCAACATGTGTGCTGCTCCATGCTAGGTGAACATAGGAGCCATGCTAAATATGCCGATAGATTCTCTTCGACATCAAGTTGCGTACGCCAACTACGCGTGGCTCACGCGCGCGCCCAACCAGCTTACACACAGAAGCGGTTGATGGCAGAACTTACGCGAGGCTTACGCAAGCCGCGCTTCGCAATATTTTTGCACGCCGCTGCAGCGATAGCTCACTCGAGGCCTTTCTGGCGCGAACATAGCGCTCAAAGTGCGACTCGATACAGGAGTACACAAAGTTTACTCTGGAAGCTCGCAAATCGCAGCTTTTAAGTGTAAGCGTAGTACGTGGCACACAATGGTCCACACCAAATGGAACGTTGCGCCTTGCGTCGAACCCTCCGTGTTCCGAGAGGCGGAACTGAGCTCTCCGGGCATCCTCGATGTCTTCGTAGAACCGTCCGGCCGAGCGCATCTTGGTTCCGCGGGGCCATTCGCCTAGCCGGGTCTCGAGGGCTTCGCCGAACGTCCGTGGCTTCGCAGAACGCCGGCTGGGTTTGCAAGCTGCTGGCCTTTTCTGGTAAATTGTAGATCTGCCTTTGCAAGTGTTCGCATATGTTGGTTGTGTTTGCAAACGTTTGCAAAGTCTTTTTGGGTTCGCACATGTTCGCCTAAACCAACTCTAGTGTACACACAGTCTACCGATCACGTCCGTTTTGCCCTATAAGCATCAGGTCTGCGCGGCTATCAATCAGTTAAAGCTCTGTTCTGGGCTTCGGCTGCTGCAGTGAGAACCTGCAGCTGCAGGTGGTTGGCCTTAGACAACCTCCCCTTCTTGGACCACCCGCCCCCCCTTTAAGGGATTCCCTAAAATAGGTTTCGCTGCATTGATTTGTTGACATTGCTTAAAACTGCCGCAGGCCTGAGGTCACAAAGCGGTGGCGGGGCGCAACGTGAGACATTGCTTTGACGAGAAGTAAGTTTGGGGAAGCACTGTGCTGCAGTACATGCACCCAAGCTTTTGTTCTTAGTTGTCTAAGAAGTTGCGCAAGAGCGCTACACCCGGTTTTCAGCTCTCTGCGCGCAGCTGGATTGGTTTTCGTCGTTGTTGTGGGCTTTGCCGCGTTGCTGACATTGCTTGGTGAACTTCAGCTGCCGGCGCTGCCAGCGTGGCAGAGGGAGATGGGGGTGGGTTGTATCAACTGCATGCGAGGGACTCGTGTTGAAACCCTTTGAAGCTGGCGCCTGTTGTTTCCTGGCAGAGTCCAAAGGCTTGTCCTGGCGGAACTTGAGATTCTGCTTTGGCCAGGGTCCAGCGAGTGTCTGACAGCTGGCCGCTCCAGATGGCGGCCAGATTGATTGAAGCCAGCCCTCATTTTCCGAAGCGAAGGGTGAAGCTCGGCACGCGCGGCTTGCTGTTCGCAAGAGGCGAAGTGAGTTCAATCCTGTACCCCGGCTTTCGGACTTCATTGTGTTTCAAGTAGTGGTGCCAAGCCTTCCATGAGGAGGCTGCCATGAGTGATTGCGGTGGCAGCGACCATTGCTGCATTGGCATGCTTTTGTGAGCAGTCGTTGGCGCCAGACATGTCAGATAGGCTTGCGGGCGTTCCCTCAACCAGATCTGAGACGTTTGCGCGGCAATCAGCCAGTTTCGGCTCAGCTCTGCCAGGTGGTTAGCAGTGGGGCACGAAAGTAGCTGCGGGAAGCGCTCGTCCTTCAACTGCTTCTCTGTTTTTTTGAGACTGCGGAAGATTCGGCTGCAGCCTCTGAGAGGTGCTCTATTGCCTTCTGAATTTCGAGCCGTTTCAGCATGCAGGCGAAGTCTTTGGACCGTGCAGGTCCCAAGAGAGCCAGAAGGAAAGCAGCTTGCGTCACTGTGATGGTTGGTGCCTGCGGGCAGCGCTTTGGCAAATGCCTGGGTTGGGCATGTGGCCACTACTGCTTGCCAACTTGGCCGTTCGATCTAAGCCACGCGGTTCTGCTGGGCACTGCCGCTCAGTTCACCTCTTGGATGATGCCGTGGCTTGTGGGAAACCAAGGTGGAGAAACAGCAGCTCGGGCTCAAGGTCGCCGAGCAGCTTACGATGCCCATGTGTTGGAGACTTTTTTGATGTAGGCGCAAGTTGCAGAAACAAAAAACGAGGCAGCTTCGCAAACTGTCGTTGAGCATCAGGGTGGCGTTCTGGGGGTTGCTTTTTGTATTTTACCGGTATCTTCTTTTGCGTGTTTTTCTGCTCAGATGTTTTTTTTTGTTTTTGCAAGTTGTGTTGTGTGTTTGCGCGTTTTTGGATCGATCCATCCCGTGCCAGCACAGCTGGTGGTTGAAGTCTTTGATGCTTGCAGCTGAACTAGCTCTTCTTTTGTCTCAACCCAGGCCTGGTTTGGGCAGGCATTTTGTGGCACTCGTGACACCCGGCGCAAGTGCCAGCTATTGGACTCGACACTTGCCATTGAACTTGCAACCCGCTTGGCTCCATAAGCTCCAAGCCCGTAAGCATTGGATGGGTTTGCACGGATCCTCTGTTTGCTTCACTGCTTGCACCACCCTTTTTGTTGAGACAAGCCGCTGTTAGGTGACCTTTAGTCGATTCTCGGCTCTCTGCCAGCCCGCAATTTTCGCGCACAATTCCGGCACTATCGGGGTAGGTGCAAGGCAGGTGGGTAATTGAGAGCCCTACGGTTCCTGAACGAGACTTGGACAGCCCCCCTTCTTGGACCACCGCCTGTAGGGATTGCCTAACATAGGCTTCGCTGCATTGAATTGTTGACGCTTAATTTCGCCGGAGGCCAGGGGTCACAAAGCGGACGCCTGGCGCGACCAGTTCCCAGCTGTTGCAGCTTTTTTGCAAAGAAAGTGTTGTACACATTCCCCTGCTTTAGGTCTTAATTACTAGTTGACTCTAGATGTTGGTTTTCGCCTTAGCTCCTGCATTTTAGACATGGCTTAAGCCTGAGCCGCCGATGCCTGGCTGAATCGAGAATTCCCATCCACCCTTCCCGGACTCTCGCAGGATGTGGTTGAGCTGCCGCTTGGCTGAGTGTGAAAGTCACTTGAACAACCAAAGTCAAGCTCTCATTGCAAAGGTCTGATCGAGTCAGGATGTCGATGCATTGCCCATGCCAAAGTGTTGGTGTGCGCTGCTCCAACCCACTTGGCAGAGAGGGAGGCCCTGCAGGATCAGTCATTGTTTCAGACTTTCAGATGTCAGTTGGTTTCTTGTTGCGCTCTAGTCAGGCTCACGCACCTGTTTGAAAAACTGACCGCGTCTGTTGTTTGAACACGCGAGCGATGCACCCAACATCAAGAGCA